TCGTGAGGCACCACCAAGGTGGCCACGCCGCCCTCAGACGCCCGCGCTGCCGCCTCCACAACCTCCCCTGGCAGGCTGATCGACCCCTGGGACACCCGCACACTGAAACATGACGCCCAGAAGGCAATGCTTAGAAGCGCAGAGCTTGGATCGGAAGAAAGCAGTTTCCGCATTGCAGTACAGAATCTGTTCTGAAAGGCAACCCACAGCACGGGGGCCCACCAGCGCTGAGAGAAAAAGGGCCAAATGACGCGTATTCAAACGTGCACAAAGTTTACGGGTTTGGGTTATTTCCACGCTTTTAGCGTGCAGAACGCTGATAAAATGCATGTGTATGTGTTCGCAGAAAGTGCTACATGGTCCTTTTTCCCCTGTGCAGAAGATTCACTCCCGTGCCGCAACCCTGACCACTGGCGTTAAATCACTCTTAAATTCAGTTTCGACATTGGGTGTCGAAGCCAAGCATTTTGGACGTTCACTGCTCTGTGACAAGTGGCCAGTTGCTGAGGCAAGCGAGGCATATAACGCGGTCTAGACAGGCATACCAGTTCTAAATGCGTGTATTGAGTATAACCAACATAAGCTGAATACATTTAATGTGTTGAGCGCGCGAAAGGGGCACGTTTCGCCAGTCGAGCCAACTGCCCCGGGTTCTTCCCGCAAGCGCCAAGCACTAAGTAAAAAGAGGCCAAATACACGGCTTTGAGATCGTGTACCGTGTAACACGAATGAGAATCGTGGATAAATTGTGTTATGTCGTGTACTTATCGCATGAAAATGGGGCCAAACCCTGCAGTAACGATTGAGTGGGTGTCCACGATGTTTACCGTATTTGACACGGTTTTACGCGAATTTGCCAATTTTGCCGATTTGTATTTGTGAAGGCCGCGCTTCACGGTAGGCGAAAACTCGCCCCTTTCTAAAAATAGATGCTAATCTTGGACTTAAGCCCCGCGCGCTACACAAGCCGCGCACGGAACCCATAAACCATCAAACATGTCGGATGCCGACACATCCACTCTGCCGGCTTCATTCACATTTGTCATGACGCTAATTACCATCATGAAGTTTTGCACAACCAGGCTAGGTGGCATCCGTTAGTTTCCTATTTTCACACGTACCGCGTGTTCACATATCACACCCTGCATCGTCCCGTATCACACATTGAGCATCGCCCCTAGCGCTCAATTCTCCAGCCAGGCGTTCAGCAGCAGAAAAGCCATTTGTGCATTGCCAGCCGCGACGCCGGTCTTGACGCCAAGCGGCGCCACTGTAGTAATTGCGACGATATAAAAGCGGCCGAGACGCCATCAATCAGTGGCACATGGGATCGCAGTTGGCATGGCCAGAATGCCGTATTCTGCTGGTGTTCCTCCCCACCCGCCCACCGAAGGCCGCTGGCAGAGGGACGCTTTCTGGCCACATGAACTCAGCAAAGACACGTGACACGACTAGTGTGTCGATTTTCCACGTTGTCTGTAAGCATTTTGATTCATTCGTTCATTCACCTGCCCACCGTCCTCGCCAGCGCCTCGACGTCCATGGCCAGCAGCGGGTCCGCCCCTCTGTGCCAGCTGGCCATGTCCCCCACCAGCACCACCACGGGCGTCCTCGCCCTGCGGGCGTTGTGAAGGTTGGCCACCCCGTTGGCCAGGCCCGGCCCCAGGTGCAGCAGGGCCGCCGCGGGTCTGCCCCTCATGCGGCCGTACCCGTCGCAGGCGCCAGTACATACAGTCTCGTGAAGGCCCAGGACGGGCCTTATTCCCCTCTGCGAATCCAAAGCGCCCACGAACCACATCTCCGTGGTCCCCGGGTTGGCAAAGCACACCTCCAGACCGGCCTCCACTCCGGCCCTCATGGCCGCCTCCGCGCCCGTCGCCGTGCTCAGGTTCAAGGGGCCTTGAGGCCCGCCGCCGGGACCCATTCTGGGCCCCGTTTCGCTTCACGCCCTTTTAACGCGGCTAAGGGGTTTAGGCCCTGAGTTTCAGGGGTGGTAGGAAAGCCGCGTAAGAGGCTCTTACTAAACGTGGTGGGCTTGGTCGTTGGCCGGAGGGGTGGTTTTGGCGGATGGCCTTTGAGGGGCCACACACTGCGCTGATTCAGCGATCCCACCTGCCCCCAAGGTGGACCACTCGTGGTGAGCGGATAGGCGGATAAGCGGCTCAGGGGCGGAAGGGTGGAAGGCTGGCCGATGGGTCAGTTCTGCTCATCCAAAGTGTGGTGTTTTCTGTCCGCGGCAACTGCAGTGGAAGTGGCGCGCTGTTGCCGAAAGGGGACGGGCGGGGGTGCCCCTTGAGCGGCGGTACTTGAAAGTCGGGGATTGGCCGCGTCCTGTGTGGCGACTGCGAGTTGTGACCCTTCGATTGGGAGCCTGCAATCGGCGCTCCGTTGGTCCAGATTGAGAGGGCAAAGGGTGGTCATGAGAAAAGCAAAATATGTTATAAAATCATTTTATGTCGGAATATCATGAAAGGGAATGGGGCCCCATTGCCAGGAGTTGATGGCTGCCTCCTCGCTTCGATATGTAAGAATTCTTGATGATGTGGATGTTGGGGGAGGCGGCGCTGAGTTGGCGAACGCCGTTGAAGGGACGGCAGTGAATGCGATTTGGATGGAGAGCATTTGTGGCCGGGTCGGGCGAATGATGCCGGCACGTTGGAGGAACAGCGAGACGAGGAAAGGCTGTGCTCGAGCTACCGTGCGGTCACCAGCATGCCAGCAGGGCGCTGAGGCACTGCGGCGTTCGAAAGGTTTAAATGCACACCACTGCCGAAGGTCCCACGGCGCGCCATGCCCGGGCCAAAGTGAATGTGTCTGATGTTCCTATTTGCGCGACTGCCCCGTTGGTACACCGGGGCCCCGTGGGTGCTCTGGCAACTTCCAAGCGTTCAGTACGGAGGCGGTCACTTCAACAATCAGCACAGAATGCTGGCGATTGCCTGGTCTCGAATCGCTCCAACATACTGCAGCTCAGTAAACTGCAAACTGCCACGGTGTGAGAAACAGAGCTCAATGGGCGGGCGCTGCGACCACGATGCAGAAGCGGAGCGGCTTGGCGCGCGGCAGCCCCTGTTGCCTGGGCACATGCTCCCACATGCCTCCCACCGGGCTGCCGACATCCACAGCCGCAACATGACAGCAACAATTACACTGATTCATATACAATAGCAATAGCAAATCGCAAATCTCATGTCGTCAATGGTTAAGTTCATTCCCCCCACGCCCCCCAATCCGCTGACAGTCGCAGCCAAGCGTCGGCCAAGCGCACAGCCAGCCAGCGAAGGCAGCGCTGCCGCCGCGGCCCCAAAATACATTAAAACCCGCCCACACCAAAACGAATACAGCCTCCCTGCAGCGCTCTTCGCCGGCCATCGCGCCAACCAAAAATGCGAAATGCAACCAGTCCGTTCGGCCCCAAGGTATCAACCGGCATTTACGCCGACCCCCAATGTGCGGCCCGAACGGCCCCGGTTGGCCTGGATTCGGCACGACGATGAAGTGATCACGGTGATCACGATGATCAGGCGATCACGGCAATACATGTCCACCTCCCGATGTCACCACGCGTCCGTCTCGTCCATGAACATGTTCAAAATTCGAAGCAGCCCTGCAGAAACACGTCAACCCGTCCCAAGCGTTACTCCCCGCCCGTTGCCCCTCCCCCCGTCACCCCAAGGGCCAGCAGCCCTGCTGCCGCTGAGAATCAGCGTCACTTCGCCGTCGACCTGCTCGACAGCGGCAGTTGTAATGCATCTCCAATCGCCACCAATTGCCTACACCGAGACGCCCTGCTCCCGCGCCTGTGGCTACAGCATGCATGAAAAAGGCCACGGCACCAGTCCAGCAGCCTTGCTTCACCACCGCAACCGCCGGCCCCGCCGGTCGTGTGTGGCGTGTCCGCCAAAGCCATCCTTTCCAGCCAACAAATTTGCCCTGCATCAGGCGTCCCAACTGCCCGCCCAAACTAGCCATAACTGTCACCAGTGCACGCACCCAATATGAAAGCAGCCCTGCACACGATCCTGAATTTACAAATTTTCCCCCTTTCCCCGTTCTCCGACCAGCGCTATGCCTCGGAGCGAGCTTTCATGTGTTGCGCAAGGCTATACAAAAAGCAGGTACACTTACTTAAGGGGTCGCAGAAGAATTGAACTGCATCTCCAAACCCGCATCCTGCGCTCCAAATAAAATACCCCTGTTCTCTCCCATGCAGACCATCACCATCCCTTGCCAACCAACACAGCAAGGGGGCTTTATTCACAACCCTTGCGAAGTTCCCGGTGGACGGTGTGGCAAACGCAAGTGCCTGCCGCCCTCGCATTTGACCACTCCCCAAAAGGGGTCGTCCTTATTACCCCCCGACTCTCAATTTCGAAAATTGGGTTTCGTCATAGCAAGCGAAACCCACTTCTCTCCAAATCAGTGTCAGGTCCCCGAGCAGACTCCCTCAACAGCTCAAGACAGGAATAAGCTCCAAAGTCAACGATGGCCTTCTCTTTTTGCTCCTTTCATCCACAGAAGTCCAGGGCACCACAGCCACAGCGTGGCTGCCCTTGCACAGTTGCCATCCAGCCTTCAAGCTGGCTTTCTGTCACAAAATTGATCATGCAGGTGCCCAGGCATCTGTGCCCCAAAGATACTGCGACGTACAGTCTCCGAACAGCCTGAATTAAGTAACGGTTCCATACTGCTATCAATAGTTACTTGCTCTTGGATTGCCTTCCTCACCGGCAGCTGCCCACGCATGTCAACAACACGTACGCACTTTGCGCACGCCCCTCTCCTATCACCTGTGCCAAGATGCAACCACCTCTGGCACATCATCTCTGACCAACACTTTCCTCTTTCCCTCTCCCTTCACACACACATAAATCCCCACCCCCTGTTGCACCCAATTCCGTTCCATCTCTTCCAGAATCCAGGCACAACACTGTGCGTGCTCTCAGTGTCCATCACCAAGGGCACGCTCCCAAGGCGCTTGGACTTGCGGGCCTCTCATGTCACAGAGACACCCCGCCAACCTGTGGATGCAGTTCATTCCCCTGTGGCAAGCTGGCAACCCTGGCGTTCTCCTGGTCGCCACCATCATTCGACCCATCTAGCAAAAATCCGGGAGGAATGTCAACGTCGCGGCTCATCATCGGAAACGGTGCACACTGATTTGGCACCATCTGGTTTCCCACTCCAGCAACCCCTCCCATTATCCCCCAGTCAGACTCCAGCCCCTGCATCTGTCCGCGTTGCGTTTGGGGTGAGTGGTCCTCTAATGAGCTCCTTGCGCTTTGCGCATCCACAGAGCTCCTGGTGCTCAGGGCACGCTCCACGGCCGCCATCTGCAGTGCCCTGAGCTGGCCGGCATCCAGCGAGTTCGACCTCATGTTGTTGCCCGGCCCAGGTGCAACTCCCCCGCTGGAGCCCACAACCTGCTGGCGGGTGTGGGACAACGAGTCTATAAGCTGCATTATCATTCCAGCAACATTCTCGTTGCTCTGCTCTGCGAGGGGGGACGAATCAACCGACCGTCTGTGGCCCCGAGCACTCAACGGGTATCCCCCCATCTGGGAAAATGGGCTCAGCAGCCCTGGGCTCCACACAGTTGGCGGCACATTTGTGCGGGGGGAGGAGCCAAAAGGATCGACGCCTGTGGGACAGGATACTGACTTCATCTGTGGCACCGCGGCACATCGAGATTCAGCCCTTCCCAAACAACCTACTCCAAACGTACATGCTGTGAGAGAGGTACCACCTTCACAAGAATAGAGACAGTGTAGTACAGCGGTGCCAGGCAGCCACTGACTGCAATGCAACAAATGCGTGCAGAAGTCTTACTTACCTTCTTGCACACTTTTGCATCTGTGAATGCGAGGGCAATAGGCATCCCCACACTACTGTCTGCATCTGCAGCTCTACCTCCCCTTGCTGGGACCACAGGGTGTACAAGATTCCAAACCAGGGGAGAAACAATACAGGACACAATTGTAAGGCTCAAAACACTACCAAGCTTGCCTATAATGCTGAACAAATGCAGCATGCTCATCTTTTGAAGCGTGTTTGCTGCAAAGCAGGGCGACAACTACAGTTTTGTTACCATGATGCGGGCGTTCACTGCACTAAAGTTGTCCTATCCACAGCCAATTTTGCCCCATGCTGCATTCACTACACACGTTGATGCGCAACCTATTGTATGAAAAGCACACGTCATCCACAACATCGCACACAAAACAAATAGACCTGGAGTCGATGAATCAGCCACCCATTCTCACCCTGGGCAAATGCCGAACTGGGGAGCCCCAGGTCCCGTCGCTCATCTGCATCTTGTGTGGTGTACCCCTGTCTGACGGCAGTGCTGCAGGGACAGACAGCGCCCGCGCCAGCAGGGGAGAGCCCTGGCTGGTCGCTGCACCCCTGGCAACTTCCTTCCCTGCTCCGATGCTGCCTGAGCGCCCGTGACGGCGGTTGCGCCACTCAGGGGGAAAGCCAGGCTTGTGCGGCGGGACGCGCAGCTCCTCCAGGCTGTGTGCGAAGAAGCACACGGACCTGTTGCATTTGGCACCATCGTTGCATATTTGGGTTGGGTGCGGTACCTGAAGCAAGGACACCACAGTGGGATGGCAATCAGGAGACGACACACGGTCATCAAACCTCTTGTGCTCACAAGTAAGCGAAGTCACATGAGCAACACAGCTATTGCGAGCCAGAGGAGCATGTGGGGTTGGCATGTGCGGCGGCCCATGGAGCATGTGGGACCCATCGACCAAAACATTGAACGCGAACCATAGAATTACCTCCGATGTGAGGCACAGGGACGAACATCGGCAGCACGAATCGAATATTAATGGACACAAAGGTTGCACTTCATTTGCTTGCAGCTAGTATGCTGGCTACAACTGCGTTGCTCCTGACCAGATCTGCCTGGGACTGGGTAATGGCACTGGCAAGGATTATTGCCGAATCAGTTTGGCTTTGAAAAGCTGCTGAGCTGCAGAAATTCAGAGCGCAAGCCTATATGGCTGGCTTCCTACACGTCGCCCTTCTCCGATTGCGATAATTTGGTATCAACTACAGCGCCCTGACTGTCAAATTATCCAAAATGCGCTGAACAATTGCATAGTGAAGCACAGAAAACTTTGTGCCGCGTGCTGTCACCGCTGCCGCAATGTATGCTGTTTGGTTGCTTGGGGCCTCTTTGGGGCGTCAGGCTCCTGCACCGTTTAGTTTCCACCTTCTGAACGCCTCGACACGTCACAATTGACACGTGGCAGCTGCTTCCCACGCCACGGCTACTGCGCCGACGGCCGACACAGAGCCTCGCCACGAGGGTCTGGACCCGATGCGCGGCCCTGCTGAACACTGGGATGCCAAATTCGAGTGTCGGCCTGCCACACGCGTGACTCGGACTCGCGCCGTCACCATCGAAAACATCGGCGCCGCGAGGCCACCCTTTGTAGGTGAAAAGCGTGTGCAGCAGGTATACAGCGCCGCGGGCCCCACGGCCCATTGCCTCACTCTCCCCTCAACATGGCCTCTACGGGGCGACGCAGCCCCCGCGGCAGCTGGTTGGAGGTCTTCAAGTCACCCTTATGTAAGAATGCTGACTGGGATTCTTTCCAGCATTGCAATTTTCTTGCATTGGAATACAACACCCGCCAGCCCTCACCTTGTCGGGTGCATCCAGTACTCGAAAACGTTGTGGGCGTAGGGGCAGCTGTCCCCCCTTGGGCACGTGCCATTCTGCAAACAAAGCAGGCAGCTGATTGTGAGCGAAGAGCACATCCGCAGCAAGCCCCAAGTGCGCCCTCCCCAAAGCGTAATGCCAGGCCCGTGCTTCCAGCCATGCACATTGGGGACGTTCTCTTTTGGAAGGGGCATGTGCAAGGCTGCCTCTCGAACAGCGCTGTACGCCCTATTCAGAACACCGCGCCGCCCAGGAGGCGGCGTGAGGACCCCCTTGTTCCGCCGTCCCCAGCGCGCAAAGCCACACGGCAACACATGCAACCGGACCAACCTGGTTTGCTGAAACAACACCCACTCCCGGGTACCCTCAAGTGCGAAATATGCTCAACCAATTCCCAGAAAACCCATCCACACCAGCCAAACCGCCCCATCCCAGGGGGGGGGGGAGCCCCGCTGTCACACCGCCCAGGGCTGACATGAAATTAGCCGCCCTGTCTTTTCCGCGAAGATCCCTTCTTGTGTCGGACACCCCAAGCCCTCAACCACCGACGCGCTGACCGGCGTCGGCCTTGTCAGCGGAAGAAGAAGGGATCATCACCCAAAAGACAGAGGGACAATATTCTCCAGGGGGCTTCTGGATTCCTCGAGATTTGGTCCAAGCCCAGGACATCCATTCGATCCGCCGCCCATTGGCTGCGGGCCCAGCACGTGGCGGTGACAACGGCGGCTAAAATTGCCACGGGATGCATTTCACGCATCAACAATCGCCAGGTAGGTGCTCTGGCCGGGCCCGTCTCCGTACAGATCTCGGACGAATCTCAACGGCCCCTCCCAGTCACGCCCCCCTGGCCCTGCACACCGCGCCAGACTACTACCGCGCGGCGTGCGACAAGAAACGGTGGCGCCGCAATCGGACAGAATCGGGGGGAGTGCTTGGATCACACGCCACGGCCGCAATTGGTCAGCGCCTGCCTGGCGGCTGCCACAGCTGCGCGCCCTCTTCACCGCGGCCCTGACACCCTCAGCGACCCCCACCCACAAGCTACCCCCCCTTTCCCCTGTTCCGAGGCCTGCAACCTCCCCAGGCTTCTCCCGTCCACCCCGCCCCACCCTGCGCCCACCTTCTTCATGTCGATGCAAGCGATGGCGGCGTACTTATACTGCTGCGGGTCGCGCCGCCGGGCCTTCTCCCCGGGGTGGGCGAACGGGCACTGGGTCCAGTCGTGGCTGAACTTCTTCCTGCACGGCACGATCTGCGGCACGCACCCCACGGTCAGACCACCCCCCGCCACACACACACACACACACACACACACACACACACCGACAGCCCCATGTTCGGCCCCGCGAGCATTCAGGAGGTCGCTGCTCCTCTCTAGGCGCCGCAAGATGTTTCGAAAACCCCGGAGGCCGTTGGGAAACGGCGCGTCGCATGACGCCTCGCGACGGGCCCCACCCCCGTTCCGTGAGCTGCCCCGCAGCCTCGTCGAGACGGCAAGCCGTCAGCCGATCGCTGGCACCCGCCCCGCCAGTATCGGCCGGAGATCCCGCCCATCGTCGGGCGCCGTCCCGCGCCGGGCGCGCTGCTGTCAACCCCGCGGCCCCCGGCAGCCCTCTGCGGCACACATACCCCCACACCCCACCACCCAACACCACAACTCGAACGCCGCCACTCAAAATAAACATCCGACACCAAAAGGCACCGACAAACGCTATGGGGCAGGCATCGCGCCACAGAATTTTCCACCAGCCTGCCGCCTCTGCCGCCCCCCCCCAAGGCCGCATCCCCCTTGACCCCCCGGCCCACCTTGAAGCAATACATCCGGAATTCGTCCGTGCGGTAGACGGGCGCGTCCAGCTGCTGGTCCGCCTCGCCGGCCGCCCCGCTCCCGCACATCGCCGCCTCCCACTCCTGCGCACGGGCCACATCTCCCCACGTCAGCCCCATCGGGATCCCCCCACCGACGGCCCGCCTGCGCCCCGCCCAGGCCCCGCTCGCACCTCGCCGTCGCCGACCTGACCGACATTCACCGGCCCGCTCTCCGTCCCTTCCGTCATCCCGATCCGCCTCTCCGCCCTGCGCCCCACCGCCGCGACAGCACGACCCCTGTGCCTCCGATCCCGCCGACAAGTACTCCCTCAGCTCACCGCCAGACCGGCCTACGGAGGCGGATAGCGGGCTTGCCAACCGCCCGGGGGGACCGATCGCCGTGGACCTGCGACCTGACTGGCCTCCCGTGCAGTCTGGCGACTGGCGGGCGCCGCCGAGCGCCGCTGCCGCCGGTGTGGGGACCTCGGCCGGGGTGGTGCGGCGTGCGCTCTTCCGCGCCGGCACCACGTCCTGCGAATCGGGGCGGGTGGAGTTATGCCACACGTCGGCAATCCTCACGGCACCATATGCCCGCAGGAAATATCCACGGGGCGCCAGAAGTACCCGTGGCACAGTCAGACTTGCAAGCCCCTGGCGCACCTGGCGCGGGCCCGCAGCACGGGTTGTCGCGATGGCGGACTCCGATATGTCCTAAATTTTAAAATTCTGCTATGTAAAAACAGTAAAATTAATTAAACTTCTTTCGGAGAAAATGGTACAATGCTCGGAACTGAGCAGCACTTGCGTGCGCCACATTTTCCAATCTATCGCACACGTCCGATGCGTCCGATACGGAGGTGTTGCGGTCACTGGAGGCTTCCGGGTGGAGTTGAGCGGCGTATATCACTTTGTGGAACGTTTACCGGGATGCGGGCGGCACGGCTGGGAACGCTGCGCGACGCAGTGGAGGTTTTCCTTGATTTGGATCCCCATTGGACGCGGGGCGTCATTGTGCTGATCATAATTTGCCGTTGCCTCTGGATCTAAAAGAACGAGCCCTCTGAGCTCCTTATTGACAACACCATGATGACGACAAGGAAATGAACTCATGACGAATGCATCGCCCTGTGGGCATAGTTGGCAGGAAGATACGTTTCGGAATAAGTCGTTCCTTCGATGAAGGAGTGTTTTTGTGCCGCTTGGGGCTTTTTATCTGAAAAGCTACTGTTCCTGACGTGCAAGGAACCCTTAATTGGCGGTCGTCTGGCCCCCCGGCCGTTCGCTATTCGCTGGTCTGTTCCCGCCTGTTTTGTTGCTTACAGCAGACGCAGTGCGTTTACGTTCGTGCCTGTAATCTCGCCTCCAAGGCTTGGAGCCCATATGCGACGTGCATGCTTGTAACTACGAGCCTCAGCGACTGCGTAGCAAAATTACATATGTAATTACGTACGCCGTGTGCAAAACCTGTCACATATAACATGTAATGCTGAGTGTAGCTACACGTGTTTGGGCAACCCCTATGCATTGCGCACTGGACCGTTGCAACCATGTTAGACTTTGACGAGGGCAATTTGCCGGTTCATTGGCCCCTTCTGCGCTAACACCGCGTCTACGCCGTCCTTGCAAGGGCAGCAATCTTGCAAGAACGTCGCACCGCTCCCACTCACCGGGCTCCCCTCAGTTGCGTATGGGCCACTTTTCTGGAAAATCGGTAGACGTTGATGCAGTTGTAGCTGCATTGCCATTGAAGCATTGCTCGGCAATGCTTCAACCAAAGCCCATATGTCAATATTGACAAGCGCTAGTGTGCGAGCGAATGTTGCATTTAAGCTGATGCAGTGTACTTGCCGCACGACTGTTCGCCGTTGCACCAATGGCGGTCTGCACACAATATTGCATCGACTTCAACCGTTGTTCCAGATGTTGATTGACGGCAGTTTTGCAGCCATCGTCGCCAATAAGATGCAAGAGCTGGGCTTTGTCGTGGGTGGTCAAGCACAACCCAAGGAATCCATTCACGTGCTTCAATCTCAGCGCTAGGCACAGACGGCGTGTTCGTGGTCGCAATTGGGGACCTTACTAAATTGGAAATCTTAGCGTAAGCTTCACGCTGAGTGTGCCCAAGTCGACATAGTGTGGCCCCTTTGATCGTAGAAATGAAAACGTTTGGCCGCGCGACTATGCGTGAACTGTAACCTACTATTGGCGTGCCGAAGCAACAAGCCTGCCCTTCAGTATGAAGGGTTTTTGTCACCCCTCAATGATCTGAAAAGCTGCTGCAGTTCTGAAGGGGCACGGCAACTGGACAATGCATTTCCGTACTGCAATCACTAGAAAAAAAAGGCCAAATGACACGTGTTCAAATGTGTACAAAGTTTACGGGTTTGTGTTATTTTTGTGTTCTTAGATTGCAGAACTTTGATGAAATGTGTTTTATGTGTGTTCGCGAAAGTGTTATTTGACCCTTTTTTCCTAGTGAATTTCGCGGTGATATGTTCAAATGCCTGCAGATTAGTGCACTATCGTGGTGCATGTTCATCACTGATCTTGCCATTTTTATTCCCAGCATTGCGTTCCTACTTATCTTTTCCAGATCTCGAGAGCTAGAACTGTGCATGCCGACATATGCTAATGAAATGTGCGTGTCGTGAACACTCTAACAACAAAAACCATATTATATACTGTGTACCACTTTTGCAGGTGGTGTATGTTGTGTGACACCAATTTATTGTGGATTTGCTGATAAATACTTGTGCTCTTTAAGAAGTTCCTGAAAATACTTCATCCAATTGGAAAGTTGCAATAAAAAATGTACACTGACACAAACTGATCAATCAATCAGAATTCCATTCAACTGAAGCTTCAGCATTAATTTCATCTTCATGGACCATCAACGGAAATCTTCAGCTAGCTTCCAATCGCAAAGCGCTAGAGGCACTTTTCCGCCACTAGATTGCCACCCGACTGTTGATTGGCAGGCGCACCAGCCCGGCCGAAGACTGGGTAGATTCAAAAAAAATCTTCTTCAAAACGCACCCCTAGAACTGCGAGGCCTTGCAATTCTGAGACTCCTTGTCACCAGCGAGGAGACGTCAACCTCAGTTTCCTGCACACTGCATTGCACTTGTGTGTTTTGAAGAAGACCTCCATCCCCTCTGCGCCAAGATTCGTGGAGCCGAAACAGAAACGGCCGTCTGGCGCGCACAGCTGTTTGCAGTGAATGGCGGGGTCCGTCAACATATACGCCGCTCCAATTCGAACTCCCTGCCATGAGACATGTGAGAAACGCACAATAGTGAACAAGAGATGGAGTTTCACACTCGATGGCAACAGTTACGCCCTTTGGAACAAGTTAGTCACCAACCCCATTGACTCACGCTGTGGTGTTTATGAATTGTCCCTAAATAGGTTATGGAAGCCCTTTGATTGCAGGTGCTGCGCCTCCCTTGGGAGAACTACGGCCTCGTTGCGTGCCTCAAGTTTGAGTCACGCAACTAGGATGTGAGTTCTCAGGGAAAGGCAAGCATGTGCAAATAAAACACTGAACAGCGCAAATGCCACCGTGGAAGACTCAAAACTCCATCGCGTAGGAATCTCGATCGTTTGTATGCGTGATTCAAAGCCAGGGATTTTTTGGTGATGGTAATTCTAGAGTCTCGTGCGAACGGAATCGGAATTTTCTCGCACATTCTTCTTCTAAATGTGGCGAGAAACATCGTGGTGGCATTGCGATGAGTGTGAAATGGCTGCAGAGGCTTTCAGCGACGTTCTTGTTTCTGCTCATAAGGGTTGCTCCTGTTCCTTTCCAACGTTCTCGCCCTGGTATTTGAACTTGTAGCCATGGCAATGCCTCTCCCCCCCACCACCACCACCACCCCACCACCCCACCTCTCCGCCCCCTCTCTTGCCTCAATTAAAATCTTTCGAGCGACGGGTCCGATTCCCAGCCGAGAACCTCGGCGGGTCGAACAAATCGCAAGTAAAAATGGACCAAAACACACGGTTTGGAGCCGTGTAAAATCGCGTAAAATCATGTCAAAACGTGAAAAATCATGTACACTCACTCAGTCGTTGCTGCACGGTTTGGTCCCATTAATATACGATAAACACACGATCTATAACGATTTTACACGACATTCAATCGCGCTGCACAGTAAGCGATTTTCGAAACGGTGTATTGTGAAATGTCTTCAACTAGTGATACTCGGTCATGATCGGCGATTAAATCGTGTCAATCCCGGCTAACCGGGAAATAGGATATCCGTGGAACGTTCCACTATCAAGTAGACCCCCTATCATGAGGTTGTTTCATTTTCAGCAGTCAATTAGGTTGAATTAATTGTTTAGAAGTTTCAAGGGCGGGCCTAAAATTTCATATGAGTGTTAAGTTGGATATCGAAGAGAAGCAACCAATGCAAGTACGAAGTATACTGTCTCAAATGAACACAATACCAGTATTTAAAACGTAGCAAGCCAGTTGTGATTTTGAACAAGTGGAAAAATCCTGACACACGTTTACGCAACAAGTGGCACGAGCGTCCTGTTGCACGCCGTACACCACTTGTACTGATCGTCATTTTTATGATCAGACCAGTTTCTAAAAATCACCTCCACTGGCAAACAAATATGTATATTTCTGTATATATGTTTCTGTATATATTTCTATATATGCATATATGGGCAGTCGGAATGTCCATTTCGTAGTGGCTTCCGTCCAGTTTCCGGATACCAATTTAAATGCAGCAGATTTTCAAATCAGTGACATCAAATAATCGGACTTGATCAATACTGCATTGTCAGGTAGCTGATTCATCAATACAAAAAATGGGTTTATCTGTTGAAGACCTTCTCCCTGTACAAATATTGTTGCATCAGTCACTTGAATAATTGACGTGCCGCAATTCGATCAGCACATTTTTAACACAGGCGCGCACAATGCAGCATACGGGACAAATTTACGCTGACAGCGTAGAATGCTTAGAAGCGTTGAAAGGAAAATGGGAAACCATGTTCTAAGTAATGTGGCGCCCAGTCCCTTGCGGCGTTGCTTAATCAGAGGCACGCACTCACTGCTCCCTATCATGCGGAATTCTGGCACGGTTCTTCATGCTACACAAAACAGAGGAAATTTCTATTGCGGGATGTGGCTTCATCGACAGAGACGAAAGATTTACAATCTCTCGATCGAGAGTTCATCGCTATAGACTCCAACATTTCACCTGGAGATCTACGACCATGAGGTAGCCCT